ACGGAGAACAGTGTGTAAACGCTGCGAAAACAACATCGTTAATTCACGTTTAGTTATGGACCAAACTGATACGTTAACCTGGCGTTTAGGACGGGGAACAGTGTGTAAACGCTGCGAAAACAACATCGTTAATTCACGTCTAGTTTTTGACAACACTGATACGTTAACCTGGCGTTTAGGACGGAGTGCAAACGCTGCGAAAACAAGTCGTTTACTTCTGTTTTGTTGTTGCTGCTGCTGTTGTTATTGTTATAAGATTTTTTAGGAATTTTTTATTGATATTTTTGACCATATTGTTTTATCTTCTAGGAAAACAAGCTCCGTTTTGTCAGAGCTCCYATCCACACGAGTATGCTGAAACTCAAATATTCAGATTCAATGGAAGCTGTGACTGTCTTTAAACTGGTAAGCTAACACAACATAGAAAAAKCATCGTTATAAAGAAGACACTCATCGAGTCATYTCAAGCAGTCAGGTCAGACAGTCACAAGGTCACCTAGACAGGTAGTGAGTCAGCGGTCATTGTTCTTTTAATCTTAATTATTGTTGTTCATTCTGTAGATAATGCGTTTTATGGAAGACGAAACATTATCTGGAGTTCGTGAACTCATCCTTGGAAACTACATCGTGCAGAAGGTGAGTTGACAGTCTTTTTAGTTCAAACATCTTCTTCTACCACTGTGCGTATTTACATAGGACATGCGCGTTTCACCGCTAAAAAAGTGATTCTCATTAAGGACCGATACCAACGTATTTACGATACAGCTTCACCCTGGTACCAAAACTACTTAATCAAGCTTTCGAAACTAAAACAGTTACGATAGAGGACATTAGCTGTCCTACTCTRGCAAAATTGCCCGTTGTCGCATGCGGTTACGTTAGGGCGCGSTGATACGTACGTACGTAAATAATAACWTTGCTACGTTTCTCTTTACAGGGGATATTCAACCCTGAACTGCAAGATGAAATTTTCGCTCAGCTATGTAACCAAACCTGGGGGAACCAGGTCAACTCGTATTGTGAAAAGGCGTGGCTGCTCATTGCAATGTGTTTGGCTTGTTACAAGCCTTCTGATAATTTGTTCAACGCATTACTGAAGTAAGATTACGCTTTGAATCATGCGATCTTATGTCGTTGACTGTGTTGCGTTTATGTTCGTTGTTGTCCATGTTACTYTTGTAAATGTTAATGTTGTTATTGTCATTATATTGTTGATGGTGTTTTCTAGCGTTGCAATGTGTTGTCCATGTTACTGTTGTKCATGTTACTGTTGTAAATGTCAATGTTGTTGTTGTCATAATATTGTTGATGGTGTTTTCTAGTATTGCAGTTGTTTATACGTCATATATAGTTCATCTAACCTGTAATTGTTATCCCAGGTATTCATCGGATCATGCGTACAATGGATTCAAGGCTTATTGTCAACAAAAGCTGCTGTGTTGGAAGGCGAGAAAAAGGCCTATCCCAAGATCCCTTCCACCTTCATACTTAGAATGGCAAGCCGCCAAGAGGAAGTGCTCCGTTTCTTTGAGATGCGAAAGTGTCGACGGTAAGCCAGAGTTGTAGCGTAAATAACGTGGCTTGTGCGTCACAATTACGTACGAATGCTGAAAATATACGTACGTGCGTATTGCGTATTGCGTATTGCATAACGATTAAAAACTTTTGATTTATGAATCAAAACTTTTATCGTATGTTTCCCACGTACATACGTCCGTACATTATTTGACGTTACGTAAAATCGATAAAAGCGTAATGCGATAAAATTAGCGTMTATATRTTCATTTTCCCTTTGTATTTRGCTGTGTTTCAGGCGACAAAAAAATGGCCGAAGTCAATTCGTGTATGACGGGAGAAGAACTTGCAACAACGATATTGAAAGACAGGTGAGTATGACAGTGAATGTGCTGTCCCCCCAGCTGTTTGGTTGTTCAACACTATGACCGGCATTCAAATTCATTCTTAATTAATCATCATCTTTAATTTGAATTCAGGGGGGTGTCTGAGCCACTTGGCTGGTCCATAGATGTCTATGACCCCGATTGTCATTATTCTCTGTCCGGACATGATTACGTTATGGACGTGATTTACGAGCAAGAGTACCCGCCGCATTTCCCCCCKGGAAGCTCGCCCTCGTTAGTGACGTTGAGGCCTGGAAACAAATTGCCGGAATTCAGGAAAAGAAGTTTATCAGAGTGAGTAACTACATTACATTTTCCATCTTATCGCGTTTTATTGGTAATTACCTTAGTCATTACGAACGTTTCCCGGATTTCTTCCTACATTATTCGCTATGGGCGTGTTGTGAGGCTGTTGGTGGAACTTTATTAACTAACAACTCTGGACACGCCCAAAACCCAACTCCAATAATTTAATCTTTTTTGTATGTTTCAGACTTCATCGAGCACACCACAAGAAAGCCAAAGTAGCAGAGATTGCGCACAAGTTTTCATTTTCTGAGGGATCCAAGGCTCCAAGCTCACCAAGTGATAGGTCAAGTGGACCAAAAGAAGACGGTTTGAGCGCAGCAACATCAGCTCGTCTATTATCAACACAACAACCCACACCGGCACCTTATGAAGATAAATTAGTCGCTCAGACTGCCATGCGCACAAAGACCGATACTACAACAGTTGTTGATGGTCAAGCTACACCAGTTCCTCCCCCACCCCCACCCCCAGGTATAGGACCAGTTCCACCACCTCCACCCCCACCGCCTCCTATTGCTCCACCAACAGACAATAAGATAAGACGGCGTTTAACGTCAAAAGAAGGTAATAAGAAGAAAAAGAAACCAGAGCCAAGTGGTCCACAGCTTTCAATGGCTGAAGTGATGGCTCAAGCTAAGAGAATGAGTGAGGCTCGCCGTTCAAGAGCTATCTCCATAGATAATAAGGAAAATAATGGCACCGAAGTGGATCCTGTTGAAATGAGAATAGGAAACCTAAAAAAGGTGCAAAGAAACTCCACACCAAAGAAAGAGGAACCAGAAAACGAGCTCAAACTAGCCATGCAGGCCAAGGCGAACCGGGCAAGTCGTCTCTGGCAAGAAAATGAAAACTTGGAGTCCATTCTWTTCCGTAAAGATGGGGATGAGAATCAYAACGAAAGTGTTACGGTTGACAATAACAATGAAACGCAATCGTCTCTACCAAGTACATCAAGTCAGAGCGATGAGGACTTTGCAACAACTATCAATGTGAATAAAAATAACTCGTTATCCAGTAATTCATCCAATAATAGTCTTGCAAACAAACAAGATGTCAGCGCGTTTGTAGACAGTCTTTTCGATCCGGTGTTATCGAGTAATTTTAACGATCTGGCTGATGAACGATCGGTATCTAATGCAATTAGAGGTGGTGGTGGTATGAACCAACCTAATGGAAGTGCTCAGACCWCAACTACTGTAGCAGGYGCATCACCTACAACAGTTTCCATGTCTTCACCTATGAATGGTGGGATGTTTGTTCCTATGGCTCGTACCCCTGTATCCAGCATGTATAATGGCTACCCTGGGTACACGGTGGGGGGAAATGTAGGGTTCAATGGGTACYCTGGTGGAACACKAAATATGGCCAGTCCGGCTATAATGGGAGTAAGTGGGTARCCCAGTCCCCCGCAGGACTTGGGAACCATTGCAGCACAGCAGCAAATGTTGATAGAGCACCTCATGACTCAACAGAAACTCATCCAGGAACAGCAACGACAACTYTCTAAGAAGTCRACCGACCATCTCGCCTTACTACAACAACAACACGAACAACAAATGAAAGTACTACAAGAACAACTTGAGGCTGCTAAAGCTGGTACACCCAATGGAATCCCTAACGGGCTTCCAGGTGAAACACCCCAGGGGGCTTCCCATGTTAGCAATGGGCCAATAGTTAATGGTCATGGTTCAGAACCTATAATGACAAGACGTACTASTGTACTYGARAGAGTAAAGTCAATTGAGCCACCTCCACCACCACCAGAGTTCTCCGATCAAGACAATAACAACTCAACACAGAACATTATCATACCACCCCCTCCTTTTACTGCACCGCCAGCTCCTCCTGCACCACCACCACCACCTGTAGAGGAACCTTCAATACCTTACCCCCCTCCCCCTCTGTCGCCTCCACCACCTGTACCACAGGCAGACAATCAGTCCAAGTCTAGTGGAGTGGCCAGTGCCGTGGCAGCTCTAGAGGCCAAGTCACCAGTTTCCAGGAATTCATCGACTGAAGTTATTCAACAGACTGTTACAAACGAAGAGCAGGTATTCAAACCTCCMCTCAAGACCAGGCACTCATCCAATCTGGCTGTCTTCGTCCAGGAAGATAAAAAGACAGAAAGACTTAACTTGAAAAACAATTCGTTTCTTTCTCCTGGAACTACACCCTGGAAAATAAGTCTAAGAAAAGAGGTACGAGAAACCGCGTTATGTTTTGTGTGAGAATACTCACTGAGAAATATTGATAATATTCTCTAAATCTTTTCTCAGGTCTTTTCACCCAATGAAAAGATTGATAACCGAGTGGAGCAGCGGCTTATCTATCTACAAGTAAGTTATTGAAAACTCTACTGGCTTCTTAAGGTTCTACATTAAAAAGATGGGCTTTACTAGGATTATACACCATCTTATGATCTTTTATTCTGTGTACAGATTGTCCGTGATTCCTATTCTGAAGCATGCTGTCGAATGAGAGCTACTGATCGCTCAAAGATGAAGGCTTTGCTACGTAAGTCAACTATTGTTCCCAGTACTTTTATCTCATTTTAATCACGATATGAAGCCATTTGTTACAATTTACGTACTATTATTGACCATATTCTTGTGGCTGTTACAGAGAGATACGGCATTACTCCTGAACACCCACACTCCAGTACACCAGTAGAAGAAATCATCGTTCAAACAGCTAGAGATCTACCCTTGTATTTTAGCCGATTCTACACTGTAATGGTAAGTATTAAAGCCTATCAAATGCTCGTCTATAGGAAGCCAGTCAAATGCTCCTCTACAGGAAGCCAGTCAAATGCATTGTAATAAACCAGGCACATCCTCTAGAATTATGAAATATTGAAAATCAAATTTTCTGTGGAAGCCAATAAAGTGCGCTATGAAAAGCCAATCGGGTGTTATGTGCGCTRAAAGTGCTGCTGTACATGAAAACCAGTCAAATGCTCAGAGTAAAACCAATCAAGTGTCTACTTTGTTGCAGGGTCAGAACGAGCTGCCAGARATAAATTACATCTTTGTTGGGGAAAAGGGYGTTTTCTTAGTGAAYAGAGAAAAAATCGAAGAAGATCTTTCCATCGTGAACGAAATTTTGTAAGTACCATTATTGCATGATTTATGATTTGGTTCGTTTGGTGAAGACGACACAGGTTAATCACAATATTAATKACAACGTTGTATCCATCACAGATATGAAGACATTGATAAAGTTCGTGTGGTTAAGAACAAGGTTGTTTTTTCCTTCAAGGAGAGTAAAATATCTGTTCCTACCAACAAGGTAAGTAATAGATTAGAGGATAATGCTATCCCAACCTTATACCSCATAGGAACTATAAGGCTATCCCCACCCTACATCCCATAGGAACTATAAGGCTATCCCCACCCTACATCCCATAGGAATTATAAGGCTATCCCCAACCTACAACCTCATAGGGATTATAAGGCTATCCCCATCCCGTAAACCATGGACATGACAATACAAACCACACCCTATTCTAGAATAACACCCAATAACAATATTTCCTTTGTTTAATCTCTTAGGCTGAGGAGGTTAAATTGATGATCGATCCTTATCTTATTCAAATAGAGAAGGTCAGTAACATCAACCAATCGCATTTCGTTTTATGCGTTACCTACGTCACGCCATCWACGCAATWGMTATTGTTTTACTGAGATACATGATTGCGTGYCCAACAGGAAGCCAAYTACGTCCGTGCCATGTACGATTACGTGACACAAGAGGCAAACATGCTGAACTTCAAAAAGGGTGACGTAATTCAAATCATTGACAAGCCCGACCTCGATGAGGGTTGGTACTTTGGGATTTTCGCTGATCGAAGTGGGTACTTCCCGTCAGAGTATGTCACGCACATCAAAGAGGTAAGAGAATGATCAATATTTTGCACGTAAATAACCAGTGTTGACAGATTTGAACTCTGAATGAAAGCTRTGTGAATTATCTTTGAACTCAGCCATGTGGGATTCTGACTTGTGTTCTTACCTTAACTGAGCATGCTCAATAAGTCATAGCATGCTTCGAGTAGTTGTGGATACGTCTTCATTGGTAGATGTGATGTTGTTATGTTGATAGTTTTGATATCACTACTATTCTTGCTAAGGACAAGCAATCAATTTGTTTGATTTTGTTGACAGCTTATTGCTTGGAGGAATTCTTGATTTTACTCTCATTCTATTTCTATTTTCACCGTGTTAATATTCTTTCTCTGCTTTCTATTCTGTCTGTCTGTCCATCTCTCTATCTGGCCGTCTGT